CTCCTCCTCCTCCTCCTCCTCCTCCCTTCTCCTCTCCCTCATGCCTCCTCAGTGGATTAAAACCTCCCCTGGTGGAGTTTACCCAAGTAGTCAATTTTCAACCCCTGGAATTTATCTCTAAGGCTTCTTTTTCAACATTTGGTTTTCTTATTCCAAAATGTTCAGACTATGGCCTTTCTCCCCCACAAGGGTGTTTTATGAGGGTTCCCAGCTCTGTGCCCACTTTGATATTTCCTGATCTGAGTCATACTAACTTGATCTTGCTTTCCTCTCCTTTTTCCTTTTTCTCCTTAGCTAGCTTCCACCATTTCTGCTTTGCATACTTTCTTCCTCCTCCTTTGATAACCCCGTCACCTGCAATGAGGTAGACTTGGAGTCTAGACTGGGCTTGTATGAAAACTGATTGTGAAACAGATAGGTAAGTAGAGAATGAAAAGTATATTTCACGCGCACACAAAAAAGAGTCCCAAAGCATAAGAAACCAACCAAAAGAGGATATGGTTCAAAGGAGGCAGAAAGAAAAACAGTCACAGGTGATAAAATATGATAATCGTAACACTTCCTAGAAAAGGGAAAAAAAGTGAATCTCATACCAGAGAAATTACAAAGGAAAGAAAAGAGGTAAATCTGAGAATTAGGAGATGTGTGGTTGCCAGGGTGAAAACAAAAACCCAGACTGGAAGACAGTGAAACCCTTCTTAAGCCTTTCAGTGTGCATCCCTGCAGAGCTGTTCCCTAAAGCCCTCTAGGGAATGAATGAAATTATGCTTACACAGTTCCTTCTACTTAAATGCAGAAGAACCACGTTAAATCTAGACAGCAGGATTGTTAGTTCTTATGCAATCTTTGGTACTGTCAGATAACCCTTCTGTGTGGATTCTTTTCTCCTGTAGGAGGAGCCCTTCCTGAGAACCCCCCGGAATAGTAACTACACGTACCCCACCAAGCCAGCCATTGAGGTAACCCCTGACTCATGTCTGTTTCTTTTGGACACAAGCCGTGTTCACCTGCCAGGGATCTGTGTGGTGTGGCTTAGGCTTCAGAACGTTGACTTAAACAGAAATGTTCTCTTCTGACATCATGGGAATTGGGATGTACAAAAAGACTCCTGGACTGCGAGGCCCAGCACTGTCCTAACGTCTTCCCAAGTTGCCTACCTAACGTCAGGGACCAATGAGAGGAAGCGCCTATGCATCAGCTGCCTTGGACCTTTGCAATCCTGTGGCTCACCGACATAGTTCCTGGTGAGGCAGCTCAGCCCTTCAAGAAGGGGCAGAGCGGAAGCAGTGGGCACCGTGTGCCATCGGCTTCCGGAAGGTGGAAGCTGAGTGGGAAAGAGTCTCAGGGCCAGGGGCCACACCCAACAGGAAGCTGCCCCGTATCCATCCGCTCAGATCCCGAGGCCACCTTGGTTCAAGTCAGTTGTTTCTCTCTGAGCATTCAGAACCCAGGGATTTAGGGACTGCTACTCCCAAGATGGCCTTGCAGGATCCTGAACCACACCAACCTTGCAAGACAGCCCTGGTGTAGGCCTGTGTCTGTGGGCCACCAGGACAGCAGTTCAACTGCCAGTTTCAGCTCTAGAACCATGGTTTCAAACCAGTTTCACACCAGTCTAATGCTAGGCCCTGGGGGTGGGGGACTGAGAGAGATCAGACATGGTCCTTACCTGGGGCGATAGATGCCGCAACCACTTACTGAGGCTCTGCTATGTGCCAGGCACTATTCCAGGAGGTTAGAGAAGTAGACCGGACAGGTCCCAACTCTCATGAAGTTCATAATCTGCTTTGGAAGGGATCCAGCAAACAGCTAAAAACAGTCATTTCACATAGCAACAACAGCTCAGAGGAGGCTGATCTGAGAATGATGGGTCGGGGAAGGGTGGACAATTTAGACATGCCATGGGGTCTGTGCCGCTTTGAAGGGAGGCGCTCTGAGCTTAGCTCAAGATGAAAAGATGCTGGCCAGAAACACAGTCCCAAACAGAAAGGCCAGGGATCACAAAGGCTCAGAAGGGGGCCGAATTCTGTGTATTTGAGGAAGAGAAGGGAGGGGACTGAACAGACGGAGAGTAATAGGAAATGAAATCAGAAGGCCGCTCAGGGTCACATCACACAGAGCTTGAATTCCTGAGCAAGAAGGTTGGCGCTCAGACGGGAAGCCATTGGAGGTTTTAGGAGAAGGTGATATGATCTGGTTCACTTCATTCACGCATGCGTGGTGATACTGAGCCTTCATACTGAGCTACATCCCAGGCCTTTTGTAAAGTTTTGAGAAAGGGGCCTGCTAGGTCACTTAGCTGCCTAGGCTGGGCTTGAACCTTCTATCCTCCTGCCTCAGCCTCCCAGGGTGCTGGGAATGCAGGCTTGGTCTGCATCTTTAAGAAATCTCTGTGATGACTATGTGGAGAATGGATTGGAGATCGGTGCTTAGGGAATAACTTTTTCTAAGCCAAATGAAGAGTTAAGACCAACCTATAGGGAATTATTGAAGAACACTTGCTACACTCTGGGGTATTAGCAATAACAACCTCATGGCTGAGAGCTGTGCTCTTCAGCTTGGATTCTTTCTGGCTAGCATTAGCCCAGTGGAGTCTTGTCCTGGTTCAGCCCAGTGGCCGAATCCCATCATAATTGAAATGTCAACTGCATCTTATCAATCAGCATTCATTTATTTCACATTTCCTGGGTGCACATGGGAGGTGCTACCCTAATTATTGGTAGACAGTGGTAAGCAGAGTGAGTCTAGGCCTTACTTCTTAGATCTTCATGCTCATGGATCCTTGCTTCCACTGCTGGAAGAGTTTAAAATAAAATCCTAGGCTTAGAAACAGCTAAAGTAGCCACAGACAGGCAATCGCATTCTTACCTGGGAACTTGTCAGAAATGCAGCATAGTGGGTGTTGTCCTGATTCTACCGAATCAGACTCTGCTGGTACAAGATCCCAGGGGGCTGGGAAGCCCTGGTTTAGGACACAACATGTGGTTCTTCCCTTTACTGGGGGCTGATCAGACCCCCAATCACCCGACCAAGGGTACGGCGGCAGAATTAAAAAGAGACAAGATCTTAACGCATAAATGGGGGCCCAGGACAGTCAAAGCTCTTACCTGGCTAAGACACCGCCTCCTGGAGCTTGCCACTATTTATTGAGCCTGCAGCTTCTAGAAGGGGTGAGCAGCGGTGCAGGGAGTAGTGGAGCGGAGAGCACTGAGGCAAGCAAGGTCCTGGCAACAAGGGAACAAGAGACGAGTGGGAACAGCTCATTGATTAATGGGACGTTTGTTTCTTCCCATGGGTTAATTTTTGCCTCTATAGGAGTTTTCTGTGGGAGTTGTGCTGCCCTTAGCTACACTCTTGTCTTGCCATCCAAGATGTCCCAGCACCACGGATCCTTGAGACCTCCTCTGTAACCAGTGGTGTGGGGAGTTGTTCCTTTCCCACACACCAACTGCTGGCTCTTCAGGCAGCCATCGTGAGCTCAGAGGCAGACTCCAACTTGTAATATGAAAAGCCAGCTCATAAATTTGCAGCTCACTCAGGGTGGTGGCCATCAACCCTGTGACAGGTGATCGTGCTCAAGTTCCAGGCTGTGTCTGTTAATCGGCATGGAATGTGCTTGTCTCTGAACCCCCAGTGATTGGAGATATTTTTAAGGTGCTGATGGCTGTCTAGTTTTTTGATGTGTATTTCAGAGTATTTGTTGTCATCTGCCCACAAGTCTATTCTTTATTTCAGTAAAGCTTCTAAACAGAAGAAGAAATCTGTTGGTATAGTGAACTGAGCAATCTCTTGGAATACACTAAATCCCACTGGAATGAGCAAATAATATTTAAAAGATTCCTTTTCACTCGCCCGTGATAGGGAGATTTTAACAAAGCTTGTCTTTGCCGTCACCTGCCTGACCAGGTGACTGAGCTTGCAAAGCCAATGACAGTTCACTTCTAGGGAAGCAGCTCATCAGTGAGGGCCTCTGTACACCCAGCAAGAGAGATTTGGGATTTGGGGAACAGCTTCAGGTCCCTACCTGCTTTCTGGTACTAACCATTTCTGTGCCTTTGGCTTCCTACTCCTACCCGCTCCCTGAGCACCTGGAAAGTATGCCCTGAATTACAGCCAGGCAAAGTTGATCTACAGTAGGTAGGGCTATAGGCATTTGTGTATAAACATACGAGGAATTGGTGGCTCTTCTGTCAAATATGCAAAATTATACACAGAAAAGATGCAGAAACCAGGGTTTTTGCACTCGTAAAAATTTATTTTCCTAAAAATATTTTAACTAATGATTGCGTAGGTCCTAGTATTGATATTAGAGCAAATTGGCCTAATGTTAACAACACAAAGCCAGGTGTGGTGGCGCATGCCTGTAATACCAGCTCTTGGGAGGCTGAGGCAGGAGGATCGCTGTGAGTTCGAGACCAGCCTGGGCTACATAGTGAGTTCCAGGTCAGTCTCAAGTACATAGTGAGACCCTGTCTCAAAAAACAAAAAAACAAACAAACAAAAAATCCACACAAAGGCATGCCTATAATCTCTTATTCAGTGGACCCTCAAGTTATAACCACCCCGACATACAAACAACTTGGGTTATAATTGGAATTCTGGTTTTAACTTATAAACAAAGTCTTGAATTATGACCCAAATGCTGGCCGCTTGTGCTTCCAGGTGGTCTCAGATACAGATTTAACCCTTAGAGAGTTGTGGAAGGAACATTACAATATCCTTTCCTGGGTGGGGTTAATTGAGAAATCCTGGGCCAATGTTTCTCCAAGGACACTGAGCTCTGCCTGTGTACAGGAGAGACTTTGAAGGCTGTGTAGAGGAGCCTGAGCTTTCAACTGACTAACTTGAGTTACAACCAGCCCTTGGGAACAAATTGAGTTTGAAAGTCAAGGGTCCACTGTATCCGGCACTCACCCCCTGTTCCTCCAGGGACAATTCACTGCTTTTCCCCCTTTCCCCCTGGGGCAACTGCTGGTGCCATCTGAGTAGAGATGAGTCAGGATGGGAAGAGTTGTGTGCATCTGTGTGTGTACCTGTGTGTGGGCGGGGGGTCTATGGAGTAGGCAGCCACCCATTTCTCTCCTCCAGTTTTCCTCTAGGCCACCTACAAGGAACTACTCTTTCCCTCTCGTGAACCCCTGCAGCAATGTATTCTAGGCTCCACCAAAACCCCTCTTAGCTGGCTCTTCTTGAGCCAACACTCTGCTCAATGAGGGTTGGCCTTTTGTCTTCTCTTTCGATTTAGAACTGGGGCAGTGACTTCTTGTGCACAGAATGGAATCCTTCCAATAGCATACCCACCTCAGGTGAGTGAAAACAGCACCTCTTCCTCTCCGAAGAGCCTTGCAATGGGTCTGGGGGGCTCTTCACACCCCCTCTGGAACTTCCAGCAGGCCTTCCAGCAGGCCCTTGTAATGCATACTAGATCCTGGGAGGCCCGCAGGAGCCAGCCCCTGGCCACCACTGGGCTCCCGCAAGGAGGAACATGGGCCTCTTCTCCGAATCACACTTTTGTCTCCTAGTCCCAGTGGCAGCCCCTCAGGCTTCCCTGCCCAGTGAAGTGGGTGCACTCAGGAGTTGGGGCCCTAGCTTCCTAGGCCGCTGAAACTTTTCTGGCTCCTCTCAGGAAGTATGAGATCCATCGAGCCCACGACCTTCGGTGGCTTGGTTGCTCTAAAAAGTGAAAGGGGCAACATTGCTAAAGCCTTAGGCTAGAAATAAGAGCCCTGGGGACCTGGGGACTGGAGTGGAGTTGCAGGCCCAGGGAAAGTTCATACTTTGATTGGCCCAACCATCTCTGCTCTTGCCTGTCTCCTGTAGTCCACGAGCTCCGACCAGCAGACATCAAAGTGGTTGCAGCCCTGGGTGACTCGCTGACTGTGAGTACTAAGCCACGGCCCAGGGGAACAAGGTGCTTGGGCCCTGTGAGGGGCCAGCTCTTCTCAGCGTTGGCTCTGCACTTGGTGTTGAGGGCCGGCACCTAAGCACGTGCCTGCCCCTCCACCCTCCCCAGCTCTGCTTAAACTCCACCCTCCATGAGGGCCTCTGTACCCTGGGGAGAAGCAGTTTCCTAGGCATGTCATCCATGTGTTGTGGCATTTGTTCAAGTTGCCTGCCTTTGTGGGGCACCACTGACCCAGACACAAAGAGTCTCACCCACACCTTGCCTGGTGCGTGCCCCCAACCCACGTGACAGCAGGAGCCCAGTGCCTGGCCCCTAGCAATATCCTGATGAATGGATTGCATTAGCCTACTGTTTAGCTATTGCTGGGTGCCTGGTGCTCCAGCATTTCTGGCGGTGGGGAAGAAAAGGTCAGTCAGCAGTCAGAGCCCTCCAAACACCTATCTGGCCAGGACAAAAGAAATGTGTTCAGAAAGAGATGTGTGATCACGTGGGTGGCATTACAGGACTTTCAAAATACAGTGTCCATTTCTGAGGAAACAAAGTCACTCCCACAGGTGTAAAGGTGCTTTGACTTTGGTATGACATTAGAAATCTATGGAAGGGAGCACACCAGGCTTATAACCATGATTTTGCCCTGGTGGGGTTTGGGGGTGGGATGTGGATTCTGCAATGAGATTCGTAAGGTGGGAGTAGATTATTCAATTTTTAAAATTCTTTGCATTGTTTCACTGGTTGTTGAACATGTGTTACTTCTGTAAATTTCAAAGAAGAATTTTAAGACAGATCACACAGAGAAAGCTTTATAGAGGAAGTAGGAACTGAAGAGCACCTTAGAGAATGAATTCGGGGTTTAGGGTCTAGAAAGGAGGACACTCGGAATTCTGGGAAGAATGGAGTGGGTGGGGACTGGGGCAGAGCCACTTGAGGCCCTTGTGCTTGGGAAATAGAGACAGATCAATGTGCCTAGACCTGAAAGTTGTGTGTGACACGGATGGAGGAAGTAAATGGGGGAAAGGAAAGTAGACATCAGATGATGGTGTCCATATTGGTGATGTTTCCTGCCCTTGAGCCTCAAGGTAAGGGAAACATATTGAAGGGCCCGAGAGTCCACAGAGAGATGTGTTCAGAGGGGCAGGTGGCAGCCCTGTTGCTGGGAGATGAACAGAGACACGAGACCATGAGGCCAGCAAGGAGGCAGAGTATTTTCCATGGCAGGGAGACAAGAGACTCAGCCAGGATCACGGCAAAGAGAGCAAAGGAAAAAAAAGACAGCAGACTGGGGATAAAGAATCGGCAACAATCTGGTTCCTGGTTGTTGGTAGAGGTCTGAGGAGAAGAATGTGACAACCCAGAGCTTCAGGTGGCCTGCAGAAGAACTGGTGCCATTTTCAGAAAAGGCAAATCCAGGCCCTATCCCAGCCCTGCCTCCCGACCGAGGAGCAGCCTGGGAGCTTCTCTTTGCTTTTCACAGACAGCAGTGGGAGCTCGACCGAGCAACTCCAGCGACCTGTACATATCCTGGAGGGGGCTCTCCTGGAGGTAAGGATGCTCTCAGCTCATTCCCTATTGGCCGTGCTTGCTCTCCCGAAGGCAGTGTGTCTCCCCTCTTCTGCCTCCAGGGGTGAAGTGGGGTCTCTAGAGCCCAGCTCCAAGACGCACCATGACTCCATGATGTTTGTGGAGCCCTGAGAGCGATAGGAATGATCTTCCAGGAGCAGAAACTCTGCTGTGACTGCACACAACAGCAGCAGGCCAGGGTGACTTTAACAAATACATTTGCTCTTCCCAGCATTGGAGGAGACGGGGCCTTGGAGACCCACACCACACTGCCCAGTAAGTAGCCAGCACCAAGAAGTACTGTCACTGTGGCTGTCATTACCCTCACTGAAGCCGGGGGCCTTCTGCCCCGGGAAAGGGAAGAGCGGGCTACATGCAGAGAGGGAAATCAGTCCGTCCCAGAAAGACCAGAACCCTCCTGCCCCACACCTGTGCAGCCCCCCTGAGTTCTTGGGGCTTCTCTCACCTGCACTCTCTGCCTTGTCCCCCTCTGAAGACATTCTAAAGAAGTTCAACCCTTCCATCCTTGGATTCTCCACCGGTACCTTGGAGAAGACACAGGGATTCAACGTAGCAGTGGAAGGGGCCAGAGCTCAGTGAGTGTGCTGGGTACTTGGGTGAATGTGGAGGGAGCGATCTGGGTGGGAAGTGGGAGTGGGCAGGAGGAGAGTCTGGTCCCAGATGGGCCCTGACAGCTGTGCACAGAGCAATTCTGTGCACTAGCCCTGTGCCAGACCCTCCATGTGGATTACCTCGAGTAATTCCTACCCCTTTGGACATGGACAGTATGAGGAGGACACTGAGGTTCAGCTGGGTTCCTACACAGCCAAGGTTACTTGCTGGTTATCAGACCAGCCGGGGTGTGATGGTGAATGCAGCGCTAACCGCCATGATGCTATAGCCTCTCCAAGGCAGCAGGAGGAACCCATCTCCCTGCCCCAGGCACTGTCCCTGCTGATGCCACCTCCTGTCCCTGGGAGGCCCCTGTCACACATGCAGGGCAGCTCTCAGCACCACGAAAGAGTCTGTGTGTCCCTGTAGCTGTCTGCCTGCCTTCCTTTCCTTCCTACCTTGCCTCAGATCCTCGAGTCTTTGCCTGCAAAAGGCTATGCTCTGACAGTGGGGAGTTGTTGGGTGTTAGGACCCTCCAAATAGCTCGGCACTGGCTTGTTTGTTTTCACGGAGATCTCTGTTGTTCACAACAGCGCAGATAATTAAAGCTGAAATGCCTGACTGGGATCATTGATTTTCTGCATGGAGCGTGCTGGGTATTTGCTTTGTAGGAGTTCTGCTATGCTCAGGTCACCAGGGAAACGACACTGGCTTGACTCACTCTGTTTACAGGGAACATTCCTTTGCGAAGCCGCAAGTGGGCCTCAAGCACTGTTTCAGTCTCTGAGCAACAGGAAGCCATGTCAGTTCCTCCACTCAGCAGGAAGGGCTAATATTTCTATACAAAATATTGGGCTCTGTGGGGCTACTATAATCATATCCAATTAGTTATTGTTGTTGTTGTTGCTCAGCCCAAGCTTTGGTAAGCAGAGATGTCTCAGTCGGTTGGTTGGGATTCAAGTTCCTTTTTCAATTCCCTTCTCTCACTGCCACGTCTATTCTCCCGCTGCTCAGCCTGTCCCAGATCAAGGTCAGGGGCAAAAGAGGTAGCCGAGATCTGCAGCCATCTCTGATGTCCAGTGTCAGGGGAAACAAGAATAAGGCATCGACCTAAGTGAGTAGGGTTAGAGAACTGCCCTGTGACTTTCCTTTGGCTCCACTCTTGTTCCTCAGCGTGAATAAGGTTGAATTTAATTTCAAGGTTTATTCAACAGCTAATGCCCCTTCCATCAACTGATAAGCAAGAATCAACACCTGCGGAGGACTGAGGCCTAGGTGGTTACTAAGGGAGACAGAAGAACCTAGGCATAAACTTGTGTACACAGAGCGATCTAGTGAAGGACACTAAGCAAACAGAAACTTCTGGGCAAAGTGAGTGTTGTATATGGCAACACTGCAGTCTGGAATAAATTGATACCGAGTCAGAGAGTACAGTTAGGAAAACAGAACCGGGCAGTCTCAATACGGATATCCCCAGTCCAGGACTTGATGGAGCGAATGAAAATAAGCCCGGATGCCTGGAGTCAGTGACCCCAACCTCCTGCTCTACCAGATGAAAGGAGTCAGGCCAGCAGGCAGAATTCAGCACCCTAAGCTCACACAGCGGAGGTGAAAGAAGCCCTGAGCCCTGGAATGAACAAGGAAATGGAGGAACTAGAGACGTGTGAGCACAGGGCAAAGGCTCATGGCTTTGCAGGACTTGGTCTGAAGGATGGGAAGCTGGCTAGGAAGAGGCAGGAGGTAGACATTCCCCAACTCCCTGCTGCTCTCGAGGGCTTGTCTATCGCCCGTGAGTTCCTTTAGTCGGGTCTTGGATCCATGAAAAGTGGTAGTAGGTACTTTGGTGGTCACCTCTGCCCGGGACAGGCTTGCCTTGTAGCTGTCTGATGCACCATTCAGGATATGATTGCAGATGTACACACTCTCCTTAGTGAGAAACAAGGCAGGACTGGGGCTTGATCGATACCCGGCTTACACAAAGGTTTTAAATGGCTATCCTGTACCAGTTACTTCTGTTTCGGCTTTGTCAGGGGAGATTCCATTGATGGTGTGCCCATTGCTGACTTCATTACTCATATCCATATCCTTTTTAAGAAACAGCTTTATTGACCACAATAAAGTACACACAGTAAAAGCATACAATTTGATAAGACTTGACATACGTCCGTGCCTGTGGCACCATCACCCCCGTCACAATAAAAGACATCCATCACCCACAGAGGCTTCCTTGTAATTTCCTCTTTATAATCTCTCCTTCCGTCCCTGTCTCTACCCGTCCCCAGGCCCTAGGCAACTACTAACCTGCTTTTTGTTACTGTAGGTTAGTTTGAATTCCCTGGAATTTTATATAAATGGAATCAAAGAATATGTGCTCTTGGCAGTGGGTGGATCTGACTTATTTCATCCAGTGAAATTATTTTGAGACAAGGTGATTCATCCATACTCTTGAGTATAGCCACAGCTCATCCCCTTTTTATTGCTGAATAGTATTTCATTGGCATAGATATCTCGAGAACACCAAATAGCAATGTCTTATTTATGCAGATATCTAAGGGATGAAGGAAGAACTAATCCAGTTTTGTTGCAGGGGCATAAAAAAACAAAACGTAAGAAGATAGGGAACAGTGTAAAAAAAAAACTACAAAGAAGAGGAACAGAATGGTTAAAGTTAAAAAAGTCATACGCAAAAGGTTATTTTCTTTTTTAAATTTTTGTTTCATGCAATCCAAGTGGATATTAATAACTATTTTTAAAAAAACACTCTTCCATAAAACCAACATTTCAGAACAAAATAATTAGAAAAGAATAGTTAATACACTGTGTACCATAATCTTAAAAGAATGGCCAAAGGTTGTTTTTTAAACAGACAAGTGGATGAGAAAGGCACAGGCTTAGCTAGCAATGAATGATAACTCCTGAGGATGTAGTTAGTACAGAAAGTCCCTGAGAGGGAGGGTGACCATTTCCCACTCAAATGGCCAACGAGGCCTGGCCCTGGATGCAGGTAATGGTGGCAGGCGCTGGATGAGTGTGTGTCCCCATGGTCCATGACAGGTCTGATTAGGACGAGGTTGGGACTCTGGAGAGCAGACAGCCTGTCCACACGTTCTGGAAAGAACCTTTGTAGAACATTACTCAACCCTAAGCACTGCTCTTTCTTGACCCGAGACCGCAGCTGGAGCCCTCCTGAGCCACTCTGATGCCCCTTTTCTTCCCCTGCCCAGGGACATGCCAGCCCAGGCCCGAGACCTGGTAGAGCGAATGAAAACCAGCACTGTGAGTACAGACCCCTGGGCTGCCCCCAAAAGGTGCCATATCGGCTGGGGAGGTGGCAGGGTCCCGCGACAGCCCTACTGTCCCAGCTCACCTTCTATGTGGGGGGGATACAAGGGCTCCCCTGGCACCCCTGCCACCCCTGCCTGTAGGGCCAACTATGGGAGAGCAGAGAGGAGCAGAGGGTCAGCCTAAATCATGGTGTTGGCCCCTTCACCCGAGTCAGCTTCCCAGAGCCCTATTGTGTAAACTCAGGGTGCTAAAGATAGGCTTCCCGCTCACCCAGCCTCTGATACTTCTTGCTCACACATTTTTTAAGATACTCTCTGTTTATGTCTTGGAATGGAGCTACTGGCAGGACTCCTGTTATGGTGGTGGCTGAGTGGGAAACCACTGCTAGAGAGCTGTCCTGCCTGCCCGGCCCGACCCCACCTCACCTCTAGGTCCCTGCCACCCTCTTACCTACCTCTCCCTCCCCTGAGCGAGCCCCGGGGAACGTGTCTGAGTCAGCACTGTGCCCTGGCTTCTAGAGGCATCGTTTCTGCTGGCTCCTTTGAAGGCCTTAGTTCCTATTTCCAAGGCTGCTAATCCTCTAGGCCCATTACGGGCTCAGGGAAATGCATTGCAAAGGGAAAGCACCCTGCTTCTCTGTGAAGCTTCCTCCTCCCAGGCACCAGGAAGATAGGGAGACCCCACTTTTACCTTCTCTCCCATGATGCAAAGCGGATGAAAGGTGCCTGAGGAGCTGTCTGGGTAGTCTACTGAGTGCCAGCTGCACGTACCCCCTCCCCAGGGCTAAACTCGGGGTCTTCCCCCTCAGGAGATCAACCCGGAGACAGACTGGAAGCTGGTCACTCTCTTCATTGGCAGCAACGACTTGTGTCAGTACTGCGAGAATCCGGTAGGCCTCTACCCAACTCCACTGGGGACCTGAGAACAAAGATAACGACCTCTGTCATCCTCCTTGCCCAGGGTCCTGACTCCATCTCACATTCCTCCTTCACGGGAGTCACACCTGCCTGGGACTCTGCCCAGATGGCCTCTGGTTCGCACAGCAGCCGAGGCTAGACCTTCCCTCCTGCCTGGGTTGACTGCGACCCACCCACTCTTCCAGCACGGCTGAGGAGGTGGCCCTTCTCGAACACACAAATACCGGTCCCTGGTCTGCAGCTAGGTGACCGGCGAGTCTCTCTTCTGTGGCTGCCTGAAAGGCCCTGCCCTGTTTTGGCAGCGGGAGGTGGTGAGGCAAAACACCCTCATAAATGGGGCTGGATAAAGTGGAACCCAGCCTAATAGTAGGGCTCACAGCCCTTCTGGGTGCTCAGGAGTTAACCAGCTTCAGCCGGCCAGCCTGGGAATCTAGCCCCACTCTTGGTGTTTCTATGGGGAAACATGTCCAGACTTAGAACCTGCTGGAAGCTCTAACTTTTTGGAATACATCCTGTTCCAAATTGGAGACATCCTGTATTTTATTTGGCCAGAAAAAGGCAGCTGCCCTGACTCAGGTTATCGTCGAATGTTTGTCAGTCACCGGCTGGGGGAGGAGGCATTTATGGCTCCTTGTGTTTTTTACACTCACACTCTCTCACACTCTCACACTCTCTCACTCTCTCTCTCTCTCTCTCTCTCTCTCTCTCTCTCTCTCTCTTTCTTTCTTATTCTTGCTGCACTGTCTCTCAAGCCCTGGGCCCTCTTTTGTTCATGGATTCAAATTATAGCCTGGTAAGAAAGGAAGAATGTAGGATGTTTTCTGAATCTTAAAATGCCTGGTTCTCCCTCCCTCTCCCTCCTAGCCTCTTCCCCTGGGTCCTCTCTTACTGCCCAGACTTGAGAGGTAGCAGGGATCCAACTCTTGAGGATTTAAATATTACCGTGTCCTGGACTGCAAAGTTAATTTAAACTCAGGTAGTCCCGGGGCTACCTGTGGGCATGTGATGTAGGGAAATGCCCCTGCAGTCCCAGCACACCTGTCAGCCACGAGAACAGCAGGTCTGTCCTCCTGAGAGCGTGTTCTTGTAACAGGGGCCCAGAGGAAGGAGGGAGGGGCAGGCTCTTGAAGACATGTGTCCCTCAGCTCACGCTCTAACTCTTCGGCGTGACTGTCATCTTGTGTCCGCTCCCAGCCGGAATCTCGGCACCCTTTCTGGTAGCTGTGATCACCCACGATCAGGTATCTGCAAGGCCCTTTTTGTGTCCAGCAGTGAGCCAGGATTGAACACACAGCACCTGCAGTTCTGTCTACTGCCCCAGTGTCTGGAGCAGCTTCCCAGCGCCTCCCTCTCTCAGACATACATCTTTCTGTTTGGCTTGAGGACTTCAGGCATCACCCACCCTCTGGGATCAGTCTTCTTGACACCTCCTAAGGAGCCCAACCCTATCTAAAAATATGACTAACTTCCTCACACTATAAAGCAAAGCCCTGAGAATCATCAGGAAGCTTTTACTGAGCACCTACCCTGTACCCCATCACATCACCCAGGGTACTTTGGGACACCTGTAATCAGCTGCAAGATGGGGAGATGGAAAAGAGGAGAAACAGTCTTGGCCAAATTACAAGGTGCAGAAGTGAGGAGGATGCGAGAGAGCAAAGGATTCCAGGCACTGGGACCGGCATGGCCCAAAGCCTTGGGGAAAACGAATGTGGCTATCAGGGGCCCTGTGAGTGGCTAGAGAAGGCTGAGGTCAGGTGACAGCTGGGCCTGGTGCAGCACTGTAAGACTCTGTGGTTGGGGTTGAGAGTGTGTGGACGAGGGCGGGGTGGGAATTGTGATCATCTCTAGCCTAGGGGTCATGGGAGGACTGCTAGTGGGGACTCTGGTCAGCCCTCAATGAGGACTGGCCAGAGGCCACCCAACTCTGTCCCCTCCTCGACCCAAGCCCCCAAGGCTGTCTCTTAGAACCCAGAGGCCGAAGAGAGCCCCCCTTTTTCCTTCACAGGCAGACCCCTTAACCGAAGAGTATGTCCAGCACATCCAGCAGGCCCTGGACATCTTCTATGAGAAGGTAGGAAGACGTAGCAGCCCACCTCTTGGGAGGAGGGTCCCCCCCCTGGGTGCATTAGGCACATTGTGTCAATGAGACGTGCATAGCAGAGCCCACCAAGCGTGGCCCTCAGCCCCTCTGCAGAGGCCATTCTAACTGATTCCAGGCCTGGGTTTTACAGTAGCAGAGCTCATCCCTGGAGTCACCAGGTTTTCAGCGAGACCCTGCGGCTCACTAACCACGGGATGTCTCTGGGCTTCCCAAATGACAAAGTGGGGCATCAAAGAAGAATCAGTGAGATCAAACACCTCTCTCGGGGCCTCAGTAAAACTGAAGAGGGTGAAGCTAGATTAAAGATTATGCTGTACGGGTTGGGGATGGAGCTGGCTGGGAAAGTACTTGCCTAGCAAGTACGAAGCCCTGAGTTCACTCCCCAGCACCACACACACACACACACACAAAGCAAATCCCCCCTTGCTCCTCCAGCAGTAGTCAGTATCCTCTCCCCACCTCTGTTCCTGCAGCTTCCGCGGGCTTTCATTAATGTGGTGGAGGTCATGGAGCTGGCCAGCCTGCACCAGGGCCAAGGCGGGCAGTGCGCTGTGCTGCTGGCGGCTCAGTAAGTAAGCAGGTCGTGGGGAGGTGTTCAAGGGGCCTGGGGAGGGCGGGACCCATGGGCACCACAGGAGAGCATCCAGGCAGAGCAGGGTGGACCTATTCGGAGGGTAGATGGGAGTAAAAATCACTGAGTAGACGCCTCTCCATTAATGAATGTCTACTGTATGCAAGTCCTTTCATTTCTCTGGGTCCCAATATGCTTTTTCTGAAAACGAAGCAGCCCAAATGATCCAGAATGCTCCTCACCATTTCTGTGAGTCCAAAGTCCAACCTTGGTGAGTCCCTCTCCCTGCTGAAAGTCAGCACAGAACAATGAACTTTGGGGACAGTTCCACCTGTCCTCAAATCCTGGTTCTGCCACTGAAAAGTTACGGGACTTTGCACAGTCTCCTCGTCAGTCTTTTGTGCCTCACCTATAAGTAGGGACGATACCTTCCTTGTAAGGTAGATGTGATGCTGAGAGGAAATACTTGAGGGCAGGCTCTCAGGAAATAAGTTTTATTTCATCTTTAAAAAGCTGGGCCTAGAGGCAAGGCAAGAGTTCCTATCCAGGGCTAAAATTTCCCGAAGGTCAGTGGGACACTAGCAGGAAGATGCTATCTTTCGAGGCCAGAGGGGCTCCCTGAGATGGTGTGGCTATGGCTGTGGGGAGGAGATTCTGCAGGTGGCTGAGTGGTCCCTATTTGAAGTTAAATGGCTGTGATGTGACGGTGGCCAGCTACGTGCAGCTGTTGGAACCCCCAGGGGGAATGTCTTCTCAGTGCCAAGCTTGTTGGCTCTCCTTGATGTCCCAACAGAGTTCCCATGCAGGAGCCCTGAGGGAAGATTCATAAACACTCAGAGGTAGAGCTGACACGAGAGGCTCGGGAGGAGGAAGGGTGATTCCGTACCCAAAGCAATGGTGGTCTTCCCCAAACTCCAGCTCCTCTCACGTACAGAATCCCCAGGGGCACAGGCATGGGAAGAAGAAAGGGAGAGGGCAGCCACGCAGGAGGAGACCCAGGTCAGGGGCCAACTTCTCCAACAAGCACAGCTCTGTGACTTTCTGGGCCCAAGCATCAGCAAGTGTATGCTGTGGGCCTACTTGTGGGCCCTGTGTCAAGAGTCAGCCGCCCAGAAGGACAGAGCCCGGCTGTCCCGGGGATCCTCACCCCAGAGTTATCTCATCTCCCAGGAGAAACTGCAGTTGCCTCAGACACTTTCCAGACTCTCCGGTGATGCAAGAGCTGAAGAAAGTGAACTGGAACCTCCAGGTGAGCCTCGCCATCCTCCTCCTCCTCCCTCCATTAGGAGCACCCTCATGGACTCCCCAAGCAAGGACTCAGAACTTGTGCGTTCAGCAGGGCTTGATAGTAAGCCACTCCCTAAAAGACAGATAGCTGCCCCCAAAACATTGGTCCAGGTTAATTGAACGGCAAGCCAAGAAAGGGTGCAGGGAGAGGTCCCAAAGTGGAAGCTGAGAGTGGTCTTTCCAGAGCAGATATAGATAGCACTTGGCCCCAGAGTGGACTCCATGTAATTTGAGCCATGCCTCGACGCACGAGAGGAGGGATGGCAGCCACTGCCCCTGCCTCCTACCTCTTCACGTCCTTCCTCCTCCACCTCCTGCTCATGTGTACCTCTGCTCCAGTTCTTCCCTCTTTGGGCATGATCCATCTCCGCTCAGGAGCAAGTCTTCTTCCTGCTCTCGAGCTTCTCTTCAAATCAAGCTCAGTGTGCAGGTGATGGACCCCAGAGCCCTCTATGGTTCTTATGTTTTTGTATCTTGTCTCCTTTTCCCAGATGGATGACAAACTCAAGGAAAAGTACATCTAGCCTACTCCCTTTACATTCCATACTTTGGCACTAAACAAATCCAGCAGCCATGGACTCTCATCCACCAAAGGGCATGGACACGCTGGGGGGCTGGTGCTGAGATGCTCCCCATCTGAGCTGGGGCTACCAGGCCTCAGTATGCTGGGCCTTGCACTTGGAGGGGTGGATGCACACTGGGTTCCTCTAACCAGGACCTCTGGGTTCAACTCTGACCCTGACAGCTAGCAGAGGCTTTGGGATGCAGGTGCTAAGTGAAGGATGCAGGAGGGATGCGAGTGTGGGTCCTTAAAGGCACCTTTGTCTAGGGTGGGTTGACAGTAGTCACAAGCCAAGGCATCAGGAATAGAGCCTATCCAATCCTAAGCAGCCTATCCCACCCCCAGAGTGGCATCTCCAGGTTCTCCTACCAGCAGAAGTACATGCAGCGTGAGGACTTCGCAGTTGTGGTGCAGCCTTTCTTCCAGAACACTCTCATCCCACTGAATGAGGTGAGCTGCAGGCCTGGCTGGGAGGCTTGTGTGTGCAGCCTTTGCTTGGGTGATGGGTGCATTTTCTTCACCCAAATGGGCTTTTATTGCCATGTTTGGGCTCCCAAGCATTGCTTTTTCTGCCTTTTTTGTTATGATTAGAATGAAGGCAGACTCGGAAAGAGAGAGAATCAGTAGTGGCCAAGCCACTCGTATTCACTGGGTTAGGACAGAAAGGAAAAGCTTCTTGACGATATCATCATTTTTCAACTTTCAGGGCAGAAAAGGGGTAGACTGTGGGGTAGCTGCAATTCATGTCTTAAGTTACAAAATTTGGTTTCCCACCAGTTGGCAGCAGTGTTGAAAGGACAAAAAGAGAAATGCCTGGGGCACCTTCTGGGGGGAAACCAGCGCTGTCAGGACTGTAACCTCCTTGTCTCTGACCACAGCTTGGGACCACTGACATCACCTTCTTCTCTGAAGACTGTCTCCACTTCTCAGAACGCGGTCACGCGGAAATGGCCATTGCGCTCTGGAACAACATGGTGAGTGGCTCAGCACTCGGCAGACTCGTGTCAAGGGCACACAGGTTAATGACTCCCACGGTGACAAACCTACTAACGTGGCTCCTTTTTCCCCCAAGGCTCAGAATGGTGTCGTATTTTGTCCTGATGTATTGTTTTCAAAATGCGCACGTGTACGTGCAACTGTCAGTAATGCCCAGGCTCTTCAAGAGGATAACTTTGCAATCAGATAGACTAAAAATTCTAGTTTCCTCCCCCTCACTGTGTAACCTTGGGCAAGTGATCGCTCTGGCTGTCTCTATTAACATCTATGAACAGCGAAAATGATACAGAAAATTAGCTGAGATCAAGTGTACACAGCAGCCAGCACAGTAATTAGCTTTCAACACGTATCAGCCCTATCGGCCTCCCAGCACTCCGATCTCAGCACACTCCCGGCTATTATTTCTTTAGACAGAAAAAAGAAAAGATCCACAGAGCTCAGTCACAGACCCATTCCAGTCCTTTCCAATGGGGAAAGGGGGCCGCATGAAGAAAGCACGCAACCCAGGGTCCACAAGGACACCTGGTCTTGTCTGCTCCTCTGCCCTCTGTGGCTGGCTACTGGCTGCTGAATGGTCGGCTGTGTCTGCAGTACTTGGCTGGTCCCCCAATACCTGTATCCTCTTGCTCAGATTAAATGAGACACCTTCCCAATCCGGTAGCTTCCTTTGATCTAGGCTCAGCATGTAACCCAGTCCCTGCCCTGACCTGTGTGTTCCCCTGTTGGTCCCATGGTGACTAAACAGTCTGCACTTCTGCTTGTTCTATTGCAATTTCAAGCCTGTGGTGTTTCTGCCAACCACCGCTGTGCAGATATTCCCACGCCTGTCAGCTCATCCAGTGTGTCCAGTGTCTTCCTCCGCTGACTCACAAATGCTGACTTTCTCCTTAGCTACACCTCCTCCTCCCTAGTCACCTCTTCTCGGAGCAGCATGTGAGCAGGTTTTATCTTTGGCCTATATAAATGCAAACTCAGCTTTCCTCGACTTGTGCTGTCCTGGGGTTTTCCTTCTGCTGACATCATCTATCTGCCCACTTGTAAAAATTTCCATCATGCTCTTTCACCCAGGACTCTGAATTGCCACCAAAATATCCCCACAGTATTTTTTAAAGTTTACACAATATAATTTCTAAGGCCAGTTAGATTTCTTTTATAGTTTGTTTTAAAGTCAAGTTGTCCTTCAGTAGCTAAATCATATGTCTTCTTTCCTTTTAAAATCACTTCAAAGCTGGCCATGGTGACACATTCCTGATTGCAAGTTCAAGTCCCACCTGGGCAATTTAACAAGGCCCTGTCTCAAAACTTAGGAATGTAAAAGGGTTGAAGATATAGCTCAGTGCAAAGGCCCTGGGTTCAATACCCAATATAGTCAACCAATCAAATCTTCCCAATGAGTAGGGACCCATTTCACCCCAAGACCTCAGAGGAATCAATAGATTCTAAGAAGAGCCAGGAAAGCTAATCTGTTGGGCTTTCCTTCCAGATTTTCTAGCCTTCCTACCTGGGTGGTATTCTAAGCCTGCTTAAAGTTGAGACCCTCTAAGAGTCTCCTGGAATGCAATGGCCCCACTGATGACTCAGACATGACAGATAGACACACACACACCATCTGCATTAACAGTGTAGTTCCAACCATCTCAACAGTTCTTCCCATTCATCCAGCAGAGAGGCTTTTATTTCCTACAGATAGGAAGGAGAGCTTTAGATATGAAAAGAAAAGGTGGACACCACCATGGAGCCCTTTGGGGACAAGACTGCCCAGACACTGTCTCAGCCTTACCCCACACTTAAACAAAAACAAAGAAAAACAAAACTAAACTCATCCAACAGTTTCTTTATCCTGTGCTATATAATTTGGGGAAATAATTACAGAGTTCAGTGTTTTCATCCCAAACTGTCTGAGACACAAAGCTACGCGGCATTGTGCCAACTTTCTCAAACTCCTCCTTACTGGAATTTCACCCCTACAGTGACATCAGATAAATAACAGATGGATTCCAGCCCCAACAGCCTGAGAGGTTGTCTAGCTGGAGCATTTTGTGATTAAAAGACAGATGTGAAGTAGTTTGCCCAGCATCACACAGCTGGTTAGTGGTACAGCAGACGCGAGGGGCCAGGTTGTCCGTGTCTTTGCCTAGTGTCCTGGCCACAGCATCAGCCTCCCCTCCGCTCCCAACCTGATAAACGCATACACAGCCAGTGAATTCATGTCTCACGATTGAGTCCTATGACATAGTGTCTGCAGGCTTTGGCGGATGTTCCCAGGGTACCCTACACTGGGGCAACAAATGCACTTTAAACTATTTCTTCTCTTACCCCTCCTCTTAATAGCTCGTACCTCCTTCTCCAGAGACCTTTGCAAAGGCAAAGCCAGAAGTACCAGCAATACCAGGAGATGTTTTTAAGAGAAAGGCTTTTTCCTCCTTTTTCCGAGGCCTATCCCTCCACTGATGCCTTCTCTCTGCTCTAGAAATCCTACCCCCAGCTAATCGTTACTTCTAATTGTCCTCTTCTCTCCAGACTTACAGCCCTTAGGACAGCGACTCTGTGCTCTGGCTGCATATTAAAATCATCTGGGGACTTTTAAAAGCAGTGGGTCCCAAACCACTTGAAAGCTCTTTGGCATAGCTAATAATACTGAGTATATGTATTTCCTGAGACCCAATGATTTCACTCCTGATAGATCTCTGACAGAAAGGTATACCTGTTTCCATCAGAAGATACATACAAGAAGTTTCATAGCAGCATTGCTATGTAGCCCCAAACTAGAAACTCCCAAAATGCCCACCCACAGTAGAATGAATAAAACGTTGGAACAGCTTAGGCAAGGAGAATACGCAAACTTCAGTAACAGGCAAATAAATACAAAATTCAAAGGCAAGCAGCTCACCATATGGTGTTAGGAATCAGTATATTGGTCCCTTTTACTGGGAATGGACGGGATTAGATGAAGTTGGGGCCTGGCTTCCGAGTACCGATAATATTCTGCTTATTGGTGAAAGGTTAATGTGTTTACTTTATCAAAATGATCAGCTGCTCACTTGTGATTTCTCTCTCCTTGTTTCTATGTATTAACTTCCATAACGAATACTTTAAGAGCCAGGCGTGGTGGCACAGGCCTGTAATCCCAGCACTTGGGAGACTGAGGCAGCAGGATCACTGTGAGATCGAGACCAGCCTGGGCTACCCAGTGAGTTCCAGATCAGTCTCAACTACATAGAGAGACCCAGTCTCAAAAAACAAAACAAAACCAAAAAAATAAGAATACTTTTAAAAAAGCAATGCCTGACTGTTCTTATCATGGGAGATTCTGATTTAATTGGTCTGGGGTGGATCCTGGGTTTAGCATTTAAAAATTTTTTCCCAGGTGATTTTAACATGCAGGACTTATGAACCACTCTTAGATCTAGTCTTTAGAAAAGAAGACCTGACCAGGCCACCCCCACCCCGCCCTTCAGAGTTCCAAGGCTCCCACCTCCAGAGGAGACGGGCCGGGCCCTTAGCGCAGCATGCAAGGCCTCTTGGGCCACCATACACACCAGTGTCTGCTTCCTCTTTGCAGTCTGGTAACTCCCGCAGGTTCCTGAACCATCCGTGTAGTCTCGTGCCTCTGTGTGCTTGCACTTGTTCTTTATCTCATCTTGGATTGTCCTTCTCACCTCCTTGCCTACCCTCAATACTAGCAATACGAGCTCAGGCACCAGTTCCTGCCAGGACTGCCTGAATCTCCAGGATAGGCTGGTAGTCGCCAGATCCACTGCACTCTGCCTGCAGCGTCAGTACCTACAGTGTCCAGTTGAGGAAAGGTTGGAAAGAACAGCTCTGCTTCCTGCAGCCACTCTAGATCTTTTCTGCTTGCACTTTCCACCTCAAGTCTTCAAGTCTAGTTGGCTTTCCTTCCTCCATCCATTCACTCCACAGCTATTTATGCACTATTGCTACAGGGTTGGGGCTGTTCCAGGAACCAGGGAGTCCACAGTAAAGGACAGCACCATCCCGACTCCAGGAGGGAAAGTGGGGAAAAGTCACCAAGTCAACAGGGTCTGACCATGTTCAGGGCTTTACAAAATAGAGGTCAAGCAGGGAGATAGGCTATAGATCAAGGACTCAGAAGACAGGACAAGTGAACTAAGAACCAAATGGCAAGAGTTTGCTAGGCAGGCAGGAGTCCGGGGCCACCGTGTTCCAGGGAGAGGAAATTAGATCCATGTGGGCCCGAACTCAGGAATGGGTTTGAAGTGCCTGGGGAACCTCCAGGCTAGCAAGACCAGAGGGCAGTGAAGAGGTCAGAGGGGCAGGCAAGGGCCAGATCCCTGGCTGGCTCCAGACACGGGAGCGCTGTGCTCTGCTTTGCCCTCTGGCTGAAGTGTGAGGGTGCAAGGGGAGGACAGGAGGCGGCTTCTGGTCAGAGTTAGGATGTGGTTGGGAGGAGAGGAAAAAGAGGAACAAAGGAGGGTTTCTTGCTTTGGGCGGACTGAGAAGTTGAGCGGATGGTTGACTGGTAGAAATTCATCACCTGTAGGGAAAATCAAGTTCTATTTTAGACATGGGATGCGGGAACTACCTTTCAGACAGCCACACGGAGCTATCAGGGGAGTTGTTACATACAGGAGCCTGGAACTCACAGATGAGGGCAGGCTGGAGATTAAAAAATAAAAATGGGGTTAGCAGCATTGATGTGTTACAAAAAAACTGTAGGATTAAAAATGCCCAATAAATCTTTAGGTGTCAAGGAAATGCGAAACAAAACTATACTGAGGTTCCACCTGACCGAGTCAGAATGGCTATTATCAAGCCCCAGGGAATTCATTCATTCTAGAACAGAAGAGAGTATGTAGGGTCCCAGAGTGGCAGTGTTTTGAGGGGGGACTCACCTTGGACAGGCACTGCTGAAGAGATCTGGCCACACAGAGGTCATCAGTGACCTTGACTGCCATCAAGTGATGGAGACTACAGACCAATTGAAATGGGCAGGAGAGAGGAAGGTTGGCCTGGGCAGGCAGCGACTACAGGAAACTCTCAGGAAGTCTCAGGGAGCAACAGCCAACACAGCAAAGCTAGTAAGTGAAGGAATGGGAGGTGGTGGGATACATGGGAGCCAGTGGGAAGGAGCAAGAGAAATGGAGAAATGAAGGCACTCATCAGCTCGCCCAATCACAAGCTTCCTCTGTGCCAGTTCACTCCTGGAGTTTCCCCGAGAATCTTTGGCCTGACCTTTCGCCTCCATTCTGCCCCGGTGGTTCTGCTACACTAGAACACAATCACATTTCCTCAGCTTAAGAAAGTGGAAATGACGCTGTCTTACGTAAGCCACCCCCAGCTCACACACACTTTTCTGACCTCTCCTCATCGGATGCTCACAACCACCATACCTGGAGCTTCCGGGAAGCATTTTAACACCTGTTGCCCACCTTGGGGATGTTAAGTAGCCCGTGTGGCACTGCATGGTCACTGTGGGCAGAGTCAGGACCCAGCCATCTGCCCGCTGAGCTCAGCTGAGTCACCCTGGCATCTCTCCCAAGACCAGAACTGCCCTTCCTCCTTCAATTGTGTTACTTAGGACTGGGTGCAAACGGTTTTAGGACAAAGTGAGGTCATGGGCTGGGTGTGGTCACCAGTTTGGACAGAGTCCACTCGCCTTCAGCACTGGCAGTCCCTGAGGATCAGGATCGGGCAGGAAACAGACTGTAGGACGGGTGGAGGCGAGACACTCTGGACGGAGACTGCGGCCAGGTGAAAGTGCCAGGTCTGTCTTTCCCTGTACGGGCCACAGGTCGGGGGCAGGCTACTGGCTGAAGACGCTGCTAAAGAGGAGCTTTCAGCTTGTTCCAAAGGTTCCCAAGATGGAAAACATTTAGCACAACCCCCAGCAAACCACAATTAGCCCCGGAGATATTTCAAGTGCATCTTTTCATCTGTGTGATAAACACGCAAAGCAGCTCGAGTGAGAATATTCCAGTTTCTTAAGGTTGACGAGCCAATTGTAGTAAGAGTGTCATGGTAACCAATACATTTTCAAAGTTTTCCTGAAATTGACCAGCCTCACGCACTTGGAAAAGTTAGTAAATATGATTATCACCATTATTAAAGTTGAAAATCCTGTGTCTGCCATCATAGCCTCCCACAAAGGGAACCAAGCAATGGGCATTGCCTACCCCTCTTCCAGAAAGTGCCGTGGACTCTGGACTGGTCGCTGTGTCCTGGGCCTTGGTGTCCTCCTGAGTAAATCCAGGGGCATCAACTCGGGGTTCTTTTCTGCTTGGACAAAGTCAGGCTCATCACTCTGTGAATCAGAAGCCAGTTCCAGTTCTGTCCCAAGGTTGCTGGATTCCAACATGGATGTCATCACATCGCTGGTTCCAACCTAACCCTTCAAAAGAGGGAATGTGGTGTGAGCTACTTCTTCAACAGAGGCGGCTCTCCCAGCTTTGGAGGGAATCAAGATGTCTTTTTTTTCTCTCTCTCTCTCTCTCTCTCCAGCTAGAACCAGTGGGACAGAAGACGACCTTCAACAACTTCACCCACAGCCGAGCCAAACTCAAGTGCCCGTCCCCTGTGAGTAAATGTCCTGCTGGGTGCGGGGAAGCGAGGGTCCACTCACCTGGAGGCACAAAGGAGCCTCTGGAGGCCACTGATGTCACTCACCACCATTCTATTCAGCCCTCCCCTTCTTGTTGCCACTAAAATGGCCCAGCTCCTGGAGTGTGAGCAGCCCTTGAGTAGAGGAGAGAAGGTCCAACAGCCTCAGCGAAGTGAAGGAGCCATACAGGCAGGCAGCTCATGAGCGTGCGCCTGGTGCCTGGAGCCATTCCTTACTGCTGTGAGGGTCTGAGCGTCCTGGTCTTAGACGTGTACGGGGAGCTCTTCGGGCACTATAAAAGGAGCTGGGCCTGGTGTCGGTTCCCAAAGTCCATTCCTCCCTCTCCATACCCACATCCCTCGCCTAGACCCAACACCACCCCAGTCAGTCTCTCCTGCTCTCTTCTGCCCCTTCTCCATCTTCCCACGTTTGCTTCCTAGAAAGTAACCCCAGCTTTTCAAGTCAGGCTGTTGAAATTCCTGCCTGGGCCCCACTGCGAGAACCCAGAGTCCAGAGAGGAGGCCCACGCCCCTCTGTTATACACTCTACACTCCTGGCAGATGGACCTACTTCCTAGATGAGCCCCGTGATTTTTACTTCTGTCATCTGCTCCTGGTAGCTCACCTTCCCTCTCTGCCTGTGAAGATGTTCACCTCCTTCTGAGCCCAGCTGGTGCTATTTCAAGGTTGCGATTCCACCCTGTCTCTCTAGCATTCCTGACCTAGATGCACCCCTGTGGTGATCTCCCTTCTCCACTTCTGCACTTTCTCCTTTGTGTTTGGTTGTTTCTGTACATGTCTCATTTCCTATTGGGCAATGATAGCAGATCTTCCATCTTAACCCTCAGACACTCAGCTCGGCTCCTGGCCTGTGACCCCCCAGAGCAGGTGCTTAATTAGTGTTCACTGAGAGAGAAAGTGCAGGGGAAAGGAAGAGAAGGACCTGGGAAGGCAGACCGGATGCCTCCCTCCTGCCCCTTCTCACTGCAGCATATGTTCTCCTGCAGCGACTACCCCTGGGCCCTCGGCACTCCCCGGATGGGAGGCTGGAAACGTAGTGACCAGTGTCCAGTAGCTATCTGGAGTACATGGTGGGAGCTCTGCCAGCTGCCACCAGGACTCTTTCGACTGTCACCTGTCAGTCCCCAATCTTTCAAAGACTGATTTGCCAGGAAAGGAGATGCCAGGGAGAAACTGCAGGGAGGTCATGGCTGGTGTTGACCAGAAAGCCCCACCCTTGTGGGTTCCTGTGCGTGTGAATGGTGGAGCTTCACCCAGGCGAGGGATGTGAAAACATGCGAGGTTATTGTGCTCAGCAGGGCTGGGGGCCAAGCACACAGACAAGTGAATGACCTCTCACCCCCCCGTCCTCCTCTGCAGGAGAGCCCTTACCTCTACACCCTTCGGAACAGTCCGTCATTCCCAGACCAGGCTGCAGAAGCCTCCAGTGGATTTCCCTGGCCTGTGCCAGTGGCGGCAGTAGGTGGCCTCATCGTTGGTGTCCTCGTGGTGAGCGTGTGGACAGCCATCAGGAGATACCAGGAGAAAGCAGCCCCGGCGAGCCCGCCTGATTCCAGCTTCTAGGCCCTCGGGAGCAGATCCCCAGCCACACCCCTGCAGCAGCTCTGGCCACCGCCTTCAACACTTGGTGACAGAGGAAGCCAGAGCGACCATCATGACTTCTTTCAGGCCTCTGCTCCTAGAATTGGCAAATTTAATAAAGACAAAGCCATTACGTTTCAGCTTAGCCTGCTTGCAGCCCTCACCTTCCACCTGCTGAGCACACAGGTGTGGGAGCCCCAGCCTCTCTCTCAGTCCTCTCTTGGGCACAGCTGCCTGCGGATGCAGCTCAACCCCACGCTAAATGAACCTCCTCCTCCTCTTCACCAAAGCCCCAGTTTCAAAAGTCAGGAAAATACCGGTCACCAGGTTGTAGCTAAAGTTTTGGAGCCGGCTGACCGCTATCCAATTCTATCCAACACATCCCTGTTTGCCATCCCTGTTTTGTTTTATACCTAGGACAATGGGGAGTATTGTAGAGTCTCCATGGCTGTGTGTGTCACAGCCTGGCCAAGATCACAAACGGCAAAAAGAAGAGACTATGTGACAATGTGCAATTAAGTACTGAGGCATCCACATAGATGTTTCTGGCTGCTTTAGAGACCTAGGAAAAATGTCCCTGAAGAGGGTGATTTTGACCTGTTATTTTTTTTGGAGGGGGGGAATATGTCACATGTCCTTGACCTGATTTTCTCAGGGTGATAAATTAGGCAGTAATTCTTAGTTATACATTTGGTTTCTCAGAGAAGCCTAGAGAGTCTAAAAATACAGGTCGAGCCTGTGTTTTTCTTGAGCTCCTACTAGGACCAAGGCCCTGCCCTGGACACCTCATGCAGATTACCTCTCGCTCTGCACAGAAGCCCAGGCAGAAGGAATGAAAAGTGTTGGCAGTGGACGTGGCGGTGTCGCATCATTGTGGATTCACTCAGCGCCACTGAGTTGTTCACTTTTTAAAAAATCATATGCTGTGTACATTTCACCTCAATAAAAACAGAATCCAGGGAGATAAAATATTATCCATGTTTTAAGCATCCCTCTGACCCAAAGCCTGGGATGACAGCCTGAGTCAAGAACCTCAGAGTGTTTCCACTGCCTGCCTGGCAAACAAAAGGACCCGAGTTCAATCCCTGGTACCGAAAAAATAAACCCCACAACTCAGAAACATCAACTAATATGCAGCCTTGGGGCCAAGCCCAGTGTCTCAGAGTACCACTTTCACTTTGCTCACAGCACTTCTGAAAAAGCTCCTGGGTCTAAAAGTACTCTAACTCTTAAAGACTGCACAACTAGAAATGAGAGGTTTTCTTCTGCACAGAGTCGGGGTAGGTCCCAGGCTGTCAGGAGAAGAGAAAGGGCCTGGGGATGAGAGGAGCTGTAGCTTGTAGATGAGGACCTACCTGCTCTCCTCTCGTGAGAGTTCATCTTCTCTCCTGTTGGAAAGACAGGAGAGAGGACCCACCCTGGGTTTCAGAGTTCTTCTAGGCTTCCATTTCTATCTCTGCAAAATGGGAGCACGTGCCTTTCCCTACTCCTCCTCTGGACTGAAGGGTGTGATAACCACATCACACATCCTAGGGTTACACTTGAGGCTCAAGACCATGTTGCAGTCAAGAGAAATCATTAAATCCAGGAGTTTAAAACCACACTTTTCCCCACCTACCTGTCAGTTCCCACTCCTCTAGTCACTTCCATTTCTAAGACGCCTGAAATTCACATCCACCAGTCTTCCCTCATCTGGGCCGAGGGATGGAATTCACGCTATCCAGGTAATCCAGGCTGGAAAATGTAAAAAAGGATCCCAGGCTGGTTAACCAAGGAGCACTTGGAAAAACAGAGAAACCCTTTCCAGAGGGTCACAACCACAAACCAGACCCAAATTCCCACCAGATAAATTCTAAAAAAGCCAAAAATCAAAAATACATGAGCATCTGCTTGTAACTGGTGGTATTATATAAGCTGAACCTTCATCATGCAGAAATCCAAAATGCTCCAAAACCTGAAACCTTTCAAGCATCAACTTTCCAGCACAAGTAGAAAATTCCCACATCTGTGATGAAAATTCCATTCCTGTGATGAGTCATAATACAAAGTATACTGGAAATATCGTATAGAATTCCTTTCAGGCTATGTGGATATGAAATATAAAGGAATTTTGTGTTTAGACCTGGGTCAGTAAGTGTAGCTATCACTACATCTTTCCCAAAATCTGGGGGAGAGATCTTAAATTCAAAACACTTCTGGTTCCAACCGTTTCAGAAAAGAGATACTCAACTGTATGTCCTGGATATATGCCATGTTCCTGTCTTTCAGTCTTAGTTAGGACAACACCTGAAACCACACCATGAACGAAGCCACCAAACCCTGAGGAAACCACACACTGGTATGCCTCAGAGAGGCTTTTACATTCAAAAAAGAAAGTAATGTGGATCAAATGTTGTCAAAGGCTTTGGAACTTTAATTGAGCTCTGAAAAATGAAGAGATGATTTGGTTTTAGGCCCAAGAAAATGGGCCCATTGAGACCGGGAAAATTCCATCAAGGCAGAGAGATGGCAAAGCATGGAGGGTCTAATGAATATTGACAAGAAAGGAATAAAAAATAAAGATGGATGAGCCAGATGGGTTAGAAGGGTACTGTGGGAATGGGAAGAAGGTAATTGTACTTCTGTGGCTATGATAGCTATAAGATCGGCTACCTTTGATTTGAAACTATAACTGTTACTGAGAAAGATTAGTACAAGGACATACATACTAATAAAAGTTGACATACACAGTTATAACACTTGCACTAGGACAGGCGCCCTAGTGAATAATATGACACTTCATTCTCTTTTGTTTTCTTTTTATGGACAAGGAAATCACTCAGAGTTACACTTTCATTACACACTGGAAATGAATGCTAGTGTCCAGGGTAGGAGAATAGCCCCAAAATATAAAACCACCATCTCCCGCAGTGAGTTGGGCCTAACTGCAAATAAATGTGTATAAAATAAGAATCTAGAAAAGAGTCGTTATCTTTGTAAGGTAATAATGGCCCCACCGTTCCTCTTTTTTCCACATGGTCTAAAGAACTCAAACATCTCTGATTACTAATTTGATTTTTTAAAAATTAACCTTATAGACTTTGATTTTGCTAGTGTATACAGTATGTGGAGTTATAGCACCTAGTAAGCCTTTTAACTAGAAAAGTGAGTCAACAGTCCTTGTGAGAATCAGATGTAACAGGCAAGATTGGACCCACAATGTTCTCCACAATAGCATCGTAGACCTTGGATACGTTGCTTAAGGGTAGGAATATGTTCTGAGAAATGCATTGTGAGGTAATTTTGTCACATGGTCATGGAATTGACTTACACTGAGAGGTCAGAGTCAACTAGTCTTGGTCTGGAAGCAAGCAACAGATGTAGTAAACCCCAGACATACGAGGACACTGTTGGTGTAACACGGGAGACTGTGTTACAGTAACCCCACCCCACCCCGAGTCCCAGGGATCGAACTCAGGACCTTGCACTTGCCAGGCAGATGTGGCACCACTGAGCTACATCCCCGGCCGTACAGTAAAGTTTTTGAGCAGAAAGAATGCACTCCAATGATTACAAACAAGTACAGTACAGTAAATGCGTAAACCAGTAACATAATTATTACTATCAAGTATTATGTCCTGTACATAATCATGTGCTATACATTTTTACAGATAGGCAGATTTATGAAAGAACCACCAAATAGAATTACTTGACTAGAGCCCACGCGCTACCTTGTCGTTAAAGAAAAATAAACTTCAATAGATGTGTTCAAGCAATACGTGAGGCACTTCAGGAACCAACACTCAGTGTGTGTGGACTGAATACAGGACACTGCTTTATAGCAGTAAGTCTGCATTACTCAGTAATTCTCCAACCCAACAAATTGCTATTATCTTAATCTTACAGACACAAGAACAGAGACTGGATTTTCACTCTTATGTCAAAATTAAAAGAGAGAAAAACCAGTTTAAAAACAGGTTTTCAACAATTTGCTCCCTCCCTCATTTGCATGTCAGCATTTACTCCCATACATGGTTCAAGAACTTCATAAAATAATCGTACTGACTGAAAGACTTGGCAGCCTATTGTTTACCAAGCATTTGAAGACATTCTGACTGGATCCATACCACAAATTTACAAGATAAGCAAAAGATATTATTAGGAAAAAGTATCCCAAACTTGGAAATAAGTGGAAAAAATATCCTGTTAATATTAATAGCCACATCTAAGAAATGGGTGTCTAAAATGTACCTGTGTTTATTGTTGCTGTCTACTATCTAATTAGAGTCCAGACAGTATAAAGTCAAGTTGACTTCTGGACCTGGCTACTGAAAAGATCTTGGAAATAAGTGGAAAAAATATCCTGTTAATATTAATAGCCACATCTAAGAAATGGGTGTCTAAAATGTACCTGTGTTTATTGTTGCTGTCTACTATCTAATTAGAGTCCAGACAGTATAAAGTCAAGTTCTCTTCTGGACCTTTGGCTACTGAAAAGAACACCTCAGGGTTATGGTTTCCTGCCCTGGTGGGATGTTAACCAGCTTTGTATTAGCAAAAGCAGCACAGCTGGCCAGGGTCCAGCGGGAGGTGGCCACTTGAGTGTGTACCCCCATGGTTCCTGGCAGTGTTCAGAAGACTTGTCACTGTAAGCTCGTCCCAGTCTCCTGGCAGCTGGCTCTGCAACCTGCCACCCTTCCAACCTCCTGCCACCTGGATGGGCTCAGGACCACCCCATCTGGCTGACTCCATCAGCCAGAAACAAGCATGCTATGGCAGACCAGTTTCAGACAGTGCTGGGCAGCAGGTCCTGTGAGACAGGTAAGAAGATGAGAAGAAACAGAGGTGTCCCCCAAATGTATTCCCAGAATGATGTTTTGGTCATTTGGATTTCATTCCTCACAATCAGTTATAATCTCAAGCACAATCATCAGGCTTGGTGAATGAAGAATACTCTGTGCCTGGAGAGTTGGGGAATTGGGGATTAGATAAAGCAAAAGAGGATTCTAGTATCAAGTTAAGAGAATGACCCTGTTTCTCTAGTTGTAATAAAATGGAGGATGCCAACCCAAAAAGACTGGATTACAGAAGCTGAACTAAAGGGTCTGAAACAGAGCAGGTGCTTGATGAACGAAAGCTGTAATTACTCTCATTCCTGTGTGCAAGCCTGGGCTGAAAGCATCTCCACCAGTCCAACTACTCGTAGCCTCTGCAGTGTATCACCTGCCCTGGTTCTCCATATGTTGTCAACCTAAGTCTAAAATAAAAACTTTGGCCCTTTGTGTTTCTAGCAAAGGCTCAGCCTTACAAGGGTGCCTCCAGGGAAACCTCTCTTTTGGGAGGAACAACTGAAGTAGCAGTCTGGGTTCCACACTTGGGGCTGGGCAGGGTGGCCACAGGGCACAGCACTCACTGACTGTTCTTTTGTGAGCATTGGTAAAATTCAATTTGGAGTGGTCTCTCTTTACTGCTGTCCCAACAGGCCCATGGAAGAAGTAGATGGTGCAGCCTCCTCGAGTTTGCATCTTGTGTGAGCCAAAGTCAAATCCAGGAATGAAGGGAGGACAGGGCCTCACCCCAAGTCCCAGATCCTCCTGGGAGGCAGCTGCCTTCTCTGCCCACTTCACCAGGGGACTTTGTGATACAACGCTTAAAAGTGTGGGTGAAAGGTAAGTTTACTTCTAGCCTTGGTTTCAGTGGTAGCAATGGGCCACCAGGGATGGCCATCAGTTGGAGCAAGTCCTCTAAGGCGGCCCCCGCTGGGACTACACCATCTTGTCCCGCACCAGAGATCAGTGACATAATTTTCAAGACTCAGTGTGAAATTAAAATACAAGGCCCTTGGTTTAAAACTAAGAATTTTATGACAGCAACAGCAAGCATTAA